AATTCAAACTCGGCTTTCCAATTTCTCAATCCAAGCCGCTATCCGTTACTCCAAAGCCTAAATAGTGCCTTTTGAACACACACTCTCTGCTGATTCTTGAAATATCTGCTCTGTATTGTATCCTAACATAAACAAAGACAATTTTATTTTAGGAAATGGATTCAATCTGATATATTGTTATTTTTAATTTATTTTGTTTAAATGTTATTTTTAACAGATACTCATATTCAAGTAGAAGTTGTTTTTTTAATAAAACAGCATTTTTTTTTATCTAACTACATTTACCTGCCTAAATATTTGAGAAATCTTATCAGAAAAGTATGCGTCCTATGGTCTATGTATATATCTATGTATGAGCAGGTGATTTAAAGTTTTCAGACACGTCCAATTGGAAAGTGAAACCACTAATAAATTTCAAGAACCCCTTTGTGTGCAAGTATGCTTTTTTTCAACAAGAGTAGAGGTTTATCCCTTGTTTCCTGTTTAGGATTGGGTTTCTGGTTCAGCCAAAGTCTTTTCCTTCTCTTTAATTCCCAGTAGCCATTTGTGCCTTGCTTGTGGTGAATTGATTTAAAGAAATTAATGGTCAGAGTTGAATTAGACCAAGAAATAGTAGTATTAAAAAAGTTCTTCAATTAAAGCTTTTTAAGTAGAAAAATTAAAAAAAAAATCAGTCACTTAGTTTCAACCTTTGGGTATCTTCAGGTGATTTTGCCATATTGAAAGCCATATTAGTAAAAAAAACGCACTCACTTAAATTTAAAAAAAAAAAAAAAATTTTGACCATAGCATCATGAGTGCATGCTCCATAAGTTTGTATCTGTTATCAATAACACATTTAAAAAAAAAAAAAAAAAACATATTTCGATTTTCATTATATTTTTTTGTCTTACATGCTACCTGAATTTTACCAAAAACAAAATAGTTTTCCATGCCAGAAGATGACTGAACCTACAGTCAAAAGTACTTGTGCATTTAAGGAAGACTTAATACAGTTTATAATTTTAAAAAACAAGCATCATAACATTCGAGCGATTAGTAGGTTAATGCATCTTTAAAAATTTGTTAGTGAAGAGATTTTGTCATTTTATATCATTAACTTTACTAATTTACTTTTTGTATAAATGATTTATTATAATATATATATATATATATATATATATATATATATATATATATATATATATCCTTACTCTGTCCTGGACATTGAGTTCTACCTGGATTCTATCCTCTTGGAATTTTTTATTAAAAAAATATACATATATGTGTATGCACCTATGTATATATATCTATATACATATATATGTATGTGTATGTGTATATTTGCCACTAATTATATATATATATATATATATATATATATATATAGAGAGAGACATTTTGTGTCTATGATTGTGTCTTTGTATTTATGATTAGTAAATATTGTTTTTTGTTAATAACAATATCATCTAAAAGAATGAAATTAATACAGAATTTTAAAAGATTTAAAACTTAAATTATTCTAATTTAAATTTTTTAAAAAATGAAAACAATTCTTGTAAAAATTCATTATTCATTGAAAATAAAAAAAATTTCTTAAGACAATAGTGTCCATAAGATATCTTATTTATAAAACCAATTAAAATCTTTTCTAATTAAATAATGTCTTTGTTTTATTGCATTTTTTATTTTACAATTCATAAATATTAAGAGGGTGAAATTTAATTTCTCAAAATTTCATAAAATTAAAAAAGTGGGAGTAACAAATGTAAAAAATATATTTTTACCAAGATTTTCTAAAAAAATTTCTAAAATAATTTAATTTATTTGTAAGTCCTGAAAAATTTCATAAAATTCTGACATTTTGCAAGAATCTTCAAATCAACATGTTTTTTTACCGCAAAAAAGATACTAAAATTTCCTACGTGCATGACACCACTATTTTATCCCCCCCCCAACTAACTTGGCTGCTGATCTGAAAAAGGACCTCCAATCTGTGGTTGACTGGGACAGGAAATAGCTTGTAGACTTTAATGCCTCCAAAACAAAACTGTTCTCCTTTACCCACCACAGAGATCCCTCCCTGACTCCCGACTCCTCAAGAGCGCCTCATTATGCCTGCTTGGTCTCACACGGTCCACTGACATGAAGTGGAATAAATTGAATCAATAGCTTCATCTACCGCAAGGAAAGTTGCTTCTCTGTGTCATGCTAGAAAGTTTTTCTTGTCTGAATCAATCCTTCAAATCTATAAATCAACCATCCATCCTTGCATGAAATATTGCTGTCATATATTGTCTGGTGCTCCCGCTGTACATCTCGAAGTCCTTGACAAAATCCAGAGACAAATATGCAAGATGATAAGTCTTGATCTGGCATCTAGTCTATAATCACTATTTCACAGATGTGCTGGGGCTTCCCTCTTTCTCTTTTCCAAGTATTTTCATGACAACTGTTCTGACGAGCTACTTTCACTGGTTCCCAGACTGCATGAATTTAAGCGAGCTACGAGGCTGGCATCTCAGTCCCACCCTTTCACTGTGAAAACAGTTAAATTTAATTGTCTTTTCTACTCAAACAGCTTCTTCTCTCGCACTTGCTGTCTGTGGAACTCCCTTCCTCTTACTTGCTTCCCTGATGACTATAATCTTCAAATATTCAAGTGTAATGTCAATCGATATCTGACACCCTGAGCTTGTTCCAAGTCCTTCTATGTATCCTTTCCTCAAACACGCCTCTTTACTCTTGTTCTCAATCCTCTGTAACCTCTTGTGTGCTAGTAGCACTCCTGCCTTACTTGAGAGGGGGGGATTACTTAAAAAAAAAATTAATCATTGACTAATCTTGTGTTCTGGCTTCATGTTAAACTGATCAGCAATATTACTGTCAACCTATTGCAGAGAACACTTAATTTTTTTATGAGATTTAAAAGGATTAAAACAATACTATAGTAATTACTTCATTTTAATTTCATTGTAAATTGATCCCCTCCTGAAGAAGCCAAAATAAATTTATTTATATGACATGATTTCCTTAAAAATTAAAAAAAAATAACATTTTTTAAGTTTCTAATCTAGAGGGTTTAAATTGTAATTTGTTTTTTGGATCTTTCTGTGTAGTAGTTGTAGTAAAATTCTCTGTGTTCTAAATAACAACTGGGTTTGCGAGGCATAGCCACGATGTTCGGCAGTTGTTCTCTATTTATACTTGTCTATCTAATCTGCATATGATACTACAGTAACAAAAGAAAGAACGAACTCCAGATAAAGGTTAAGGTTGTGACCATCATGAACTCCTGGTAGAAGTTCTAATTCTCTCAGAATCACTTCACTGTACAAGTTGCATAAATCCAGTGAAATATTTAAAAACAAGTATAAAAAAAAGAAAGAAAAGTAAACCTATTTAAATGTCTTATCCAAAATACATGTGTAAATAAATTAAATATTTAAAATTCATATTACTCTTTCTTTGTATTTACAGGGTGAGATGGACAAATCGTCGTCTAAATTACCCAAAAATGAAAAGAACACTATCATCTCATTTTAACAGATACATTTACTAAAATGACACAGAAATATCTTAAAATACTAAAAAGTAAATTTATTTAATAAAATTGTCATTGGCTTCAACCAGACAACTTCAGAATCTCCTGCAACTCTTCTGGATGGTCTCCTTCTTTAAGTTGGTGAATGCTACCATAATCCTTGCCTTCATTTCGCCTTTGGTGTTAAAAGGAGTTTTGTTGGTCTCTTACTCAACTGCACCCCACACATAATAATCAAGGGGGTTGCAGTCTGGGGAGTTAGGTGGCCAGATGTAAGGGGTGATGTGGTGGCAGAAATTGTCTAACAGCCATGATTGGGTTCTCCAGCTTGTGTGGCATGGTGCAGAATCCTGTTACCAGACATAGGGTCTTTCAACAGCCAACCTCTTGACCCAGGGCAGAACTACATTCTCAAGGCACGATATAGGCCTACATGTTGTCGAAGATTCTCAACAACAAATTCAGGAGCTTTTTTCGATCAGAGTGAGTTGTCCAAACTGCTGTACCTTCGTAATCACCATTAGACTCATCCAACTCTTTCTGAATCCTCTGTATTGCCTTCAGATTGAAACCCAAACACTCTGAAATGTTTGTATTGGAGCTTGTATTGCTAAGCAGTACAGCATGCCGTTTCCAAATTTCTGGCAAAGTGAATTGCACCATAGTGCTCTTTTTACTTCACAGACAGTGCCCAAATGAACCTACGAGACTATGCAGTCAACAAAAAAAAAAAAAAAAAAACAATGTGCATGCATGAAAAGAAAAATATAAAAATGGCGACAATTTACCCAACGCACCTTGTAGATATTTTTTTATTTGTTTTTTATTTTCATTGACCAATAAAAAGACCATCAGCTTCCTGCTAAAACCGATATCAACATTAAATAATCCTCTTGAACAAACCAACTGACTTGTTATCATAAATAAGCAACAATCAAATTAAAGTGTAATTTTTAAAACGTATTTTTTTTTAAAAAAGCACCAAATATGGAAGTTATCTCCCTTTAATATTCTGTTTGGATTTTTTTAATGATTTGATTTGTTTCCAGAAAACCTTAAATTTTATCTCTTGACCAACTTTTCCTTACCGAATTATGGTCTGCAGACAATTCCTTAACCTGGATTTTAAAAACAATAATATCTCCATTTCATAGTCAGTTGTCAAATTAGACCATATCGTTTTTTTTGTTCTTTTTCCAAGGAAGAAAATAAAAAAAAAAAAACCTTGTGAATCTACTTGCCTCGTCCCTTGGTATAGCTATCGAGCTATCCCTTCAACCCTTAAAGTATCACCCCCCCCCTAAAGTGTACCTCAATAAATGTTTGATAAAAGTAACTGTGCAATAAAACTGACTTTGCTGATTTTCACATGAAACTCATTTTACTGATTTCTGACCCTAACTCCTTACCATGGACCTAAACAGCAGAGTGATGTATAATATAAAAGAAGGAGGAGGAATTTTGTGTGTGATTTTTTTCAAGTTGATGTATTGCTTATATTTAAAGATATTTTGAAATTTTCTAAAGAAGGTTGGAGAATAAAATAGTTAAAATCATGTGAACGGGGGAGAAAAAGAGGGGGGGTGGCAGAAAAGAGAAAAACAAGAGGGTTAGTAAATAAACTGAAAAAAGAAGAAGAAAAAAACAGAAAACAAAGAGGAAGAAGAAAAAAAACAGAAAACAAAGAGGAAGAAGAAGAAAAAAACAGAAAACAAAGAGGAAGAAGAAGAAAAAAACAGAAAACAAAGAGGAAGAAGAAAAAAACAGAAAACAAAGAGGAAGAAGAAAAAACAGAAAACAAAGAGGAAGAAGAAAAACAGAAAAAAAAAGAAAAAAAAAGAAAACAAAAGAAGAAAAAAAAAAAACAGAAAACAAAGAAAAAAAGAAAAAAAAAAGAAAAAACAGAAAACAAAGAAGAAGAAAAAAACAGAAAACAAAGAGGAAGAAGAAAAAAAAAGAAGAAAAAAAACAGAAAAAAAGAAAGAAGAAAAAAAAGAAAACAAAGAGGGAAGAAAAAAAAAAACAGAAAAAAAAAGAAAACAAAAGGGAAAGAAAAAAAAACAGAAAAAAAAGAGAAAACAAGAGAAAAAAAACAGAAAACAAAGAGGAAAGAAAAAACAAAGAAAAGAAAAAACAGAAAAAAGAGAAAGAAAAAACAGAAAAAAGAAAGAAAAAACAGAAAAAAAAAACAGAAAACAAAGAAGGAAAAACAAAAAACAAAAAAAAGAAAACAAAAAGAAGGAAAACAAAAAGAAAAAAACAGAAAACAAAGAGGAAAGAAAAAACAGAAAACAAAGAGGAAAGAAAAAACAGAAAACAAAGAGGAAAGAAAAAACAGAAAACAAAGAGGAAAGAAAAAACAGAAAACAAAGAGGAAAGAAAAACAGAAAAAAACAAGAGGAAAAAACAGAAAACAAAGGGGAAGAAAAAACAGAAAACAAAGGGGAAGAAAAAACAGAAAACAAAGGGGAAGAAAAAAAACAGAAAATAGAAGAACAAAAAGGAAAAAAAGAAAAGAAAGAAGAAAAAAACAAAAGGCAAAAGAAGAAAACAAAGAGAAAGAAAAAACAGAAAAAAAAAAGAAAAAAGAAAAAAAAAGAGGAAAGAAAAAAGAAAACAAAAGGAAAGAAAAGGGGAAAAAAAACAGAAAAAACAGGAAAGAAAAAAACGAAAACAAAAAAGAAAAACAGAAAACAAAAAAAAAAACAGAAAACAAAAAAAAAAAACAGAAAACAAGAAGAAAAGAAAAAGAAAACAAAGGGGAAAAAAACAGAAAAAAAGAAAAAAAACAGAAAAACAAAGGGAAGAAAAAAAAAAAAAAAAAAAAAAAACAGAAAAGAAGAACAAAAAAAAAAAGAACAGAAAAAAAAAAAAGGCAATGGAAAAAACAGAAAAACAAAATAACTGAAACAAAGAGAGAAAAACAAAGAAAAACAGAGAGCAAAAGGAAAAAACAAAAAAAGGAAAAAACAAAGAAGGAAAAAACAGAACACAACGAGGCAATGGAACAAGATAACTGGGAGAGAGAAAACAACAGGACAAAATGGGAGTAAGGAAAAAAATGAAAGAGAAAAGCTGGATGTAGGAAAGAAACTAGAGAGAAATACATAAAAATATTAAATAATGATTTTAATAAAGATTTTGATAAAACCAAAAGTGAAGTTAAACAGCTGAAAATACATGAAATAAAAGAAGCACACTCCAAAACAATTCAAAGTTGGAGATATGAAGAGAAAGACTGAATAAAATAATAAAAGTTCTGATTAATAAAGTACTTGTAAAGGTTCATGAATATTTCATTTGCAAAAGGCATGAAGTGACTCTAAAGCATTTACAAGTAAAACACAAAACTTCATAGAAATCAACAATTGATTATAAAATATTCAATTCATTTTATTAATATAATGATTTCTTTCATTAGTTCATAAACAAGGATATTTTTTGTCTCATTACAATGAAAAACAAAAAAAAAAAACAACAAAAGAAATAATATTAAAAAAATAACTAACAATAAACCCAAATGAAACATGCTGAACTTTAAATATAATGTTGTCATTATGAATAAAATGAACAGGTTTATAAATCCAAAAAAGGAGCCCCAATCCTAACCTTTGTTTTCCCAATTTTATAGCAAACATAAAAACATTCAACAGCAGAAGAGAAACTAACTTACAGCCATGCTTTGTGGCTTTTAATGTAAAATATGAGAGGCGGCTTACAAATATTAATTTTCTGATACATCAACATCTACATGAGTCTTACAACAGTCAATGTTACCTACTTGAGTGTCTGCAAAGTTTTCAATATACAAAAATAGACCAGAATAATGTCGACAATATGGGAGGAGGTTTAACTTCTTTTGTCTTCCCAAATATCTGACAAAATTTCTGTTGTCTATATACTTCTACATTAATCTTTTCAAAATTTTCACCTTGCCAAAATACACCCTCATGCAAATTAATTGAAACAACCACTTTAGTTTCTTTTCTTTCACCATACAGTTTTAGACCCACTGGAGTGACAGGGTATAATCGATTTCTATTTTTTCCTCAGATTAGGTCATTTGCACTGGTGTGCAGTAATATGAATCTATTTTTGGGGTGTATGATAAAAATTGTTTGGCCTTGAAAAATATTCCATCATCCATGATTGCATCAGATTTTTATCACGCTCAGACACTATTGTCTCCACTGTCAATTAGTTGTCCTACAGCCATTGTCTGCAATGGACATTACTCCAAGAAAGCATACAAAAATTTGTAACGTTGCACAAACACACTGGTAAGCCCTACCAGTGAGCAAATCAAAGTACTAGACTAGCTCGGAAACTCTCCTGATTCAAATCCAATCAAGAATCTGTGGTCAATCTGTAAAGAATGACTTCATGGAATGGAGATACAAAGTACTAACATGTGTACTGGGTCATGTTTCATTGGAAAAATACAAAAAAAAAGTAAATAATAATGAAATTATTTGTTTTGTTTCAATTAATTTGCACAATGATGTAATTCAGGTGTGTAAAAGGAATCTTAAAAGATGAACAGGTAAATAGAACAAATATTAAATAATCTGTGTGAATTTCTTTGATGAAAAATTATCAGTATTGACATTCGAACTAATATCCTCATCTACACTATTTACTTTATTCAGACTGTTGTCCTCATCTTTGTCATCATATTCACAACATTTCGGTTATTGTACATTCCAGCCTTCATCAGGTGATACACATTAGAATTTTGAACCAAACCCTTTATTTAGTCCACTCAGAAATAGAGAAAAACAATAACAGTTTTATGAAATGGACAAAGTCCGACAATTATTTTAAGACATTTTTATGTTTATACATACTTTTTATAGATACAAATATTTAAGTAAATGCTCTGTTTTATAATAAACAATATTAACAACATTTACCAGCCTGAAAGTCTGAGAAAAATTTTCATAGAAAATATTCATCCTCCAACAGGAATCAAACCTGTATCCTATACGGAATCATCATATAGCCTGACGTGCCTTAACTGACTGGACCAAAGAGGATCGTTCGGTTAGCATGATCGATTTTACTGCTTTTAAATTACAATCTTCCATTATTCTCTCACGTACATTCATATCTGCTCATGACATATCCAGATGTAAACAAATGACGTCACACATTATGAAATGGACAAAGTCCGACAATTATTTGAAGACATTTTTGTTTATACTTTCTTTTTATAGATACAAATATTTAAGTAAATGCTCTGTTTATAATAAACAGTATTAATACTGTTTATTATAAACAGAGCATTTACTTAAATATTTGTATCTATAAAAAGAAATATAAACATAAAATGTCTTAAAAATAACAGTTTTATTGAATCAATTTTGGCCCAGTGGATAAAAGTGTTGGTTGAAGTAATCCTGTGACTTGACCCAAAGAGTTGTGAGTTCAATACCTGGCCACAGCAGAGGTTAACATAAACTTGGAGAGTTCAGTTACTAAAGAGAAATAACTGAAACTGAGATATCCAGAAAAGGCATGGCATGTGGAACTAGAACAACCTACCCCAGCGGACTAAATAAAGGGTTTGGTTCGAAATACCAACATATATCACCTGAAGAAGTCCGGAGCGCATAACAGCCAAAACATTGTGAATATAACAATAAAGATGAAGACAACAGTCCAAATAATGTAAATAGTATAAATAGAATTTAGAATATTCAGAAATATAAACAAATATCCTCATCTTTGTTGTTATTATCACAATGTTCTGACCATTTGGCATTCTTTCTGTCATCATAAGATACCTTCTTCCACAAACCCCAATTCAGTGCTCAATATTCCCAGTGATTTCTCATGAATTCCTTTTTATTTACATCAGACCAATATCCTCATCTTTACTTGCATTACTTGCATTATTCAGACTGTTATCCTCATCTTCATTGCTATATCCACAACATTTCAGCTGTTGTATGCTCCAGCCTTATTCAGGTGATTGGAATTTCAAACCAAACCCTTTATTTCGTCCACTGGGGTAGATTGTTCTAGTTCCACATGCCATGTCTCTTCCGGATGTTATTTCCCTTTAACTCAACTCTCCAAGTTTTGGTTCACCAGTGCTGTGACCTGGTATTGAACTCACAACTCTTTGGGTCTAGTCTTGGAGAGTTGAGTTAAAGTCTGAGACATCCAGAAAAGACATGACATGTGGAACTAGAACAATTTACCCCGGTAGACGAAATATAAGATGTGGTTCGATATTGCAATCACCTGAAGAAGGCTGGAGCATAAAAGAGCCAAAACATTGTGAATATGGCAATGAAGATGAGGATAACAGTCTGAATAATGTAAATAATCATGATACCTCATTTCAGAGATATAGATGGACAATCTGTAGTTTATACTGTAACTACGCTAAGTGGAACTTAATCACAGTTTCTGGGAGAGAGTGCATCATCTGGCGTGATCATCAATGTGAACAATGCCAAGATGCTCAAGCCTTGTTTTTTTGTAAGCATTTCACCCCAAGCAAGGTGGAAGTGCCACTAGAGGCTACAGAGAGTGTAAGTAAGAAAAAAGACTTGGTATAGGGGGAGTATTAAGGAAAGGATAAAAAGAAGAACAGACATCAAAGCATCCGAATATGTTGATTGACATTACATTTAAATTTTTGAAGATTATAGTTATCAGGGAAACAACTAAGAGAAAGGGAGTTCCACTGTCAGGATGTTCTAATGAAACTGTTGGAATAGAAGAGGCTGTTACATTTAACTGTTTTGATAGTAAAAGAGTGGGACCAAGATGCCAACCTAGTAGCACACTTAAATTCATGCAGTTGGGGCACCAGTGAAAATAGCTCATCAGTGTAGATGCCATGAAAATATTTATAGAAAAGACAGAGGGAAGCCACATTACATCAGTGATAAAGTGAGTCTAGTTCTAGTTCCACATGCTATGCCTCTTCTGGATGTCAGTTATTTCCTTTTAAATCAACCCTCCAAGTTTCAGTTCACCAGTGGTAGCCTGGTATTGAACTCACAACTCTTTGGGTTTAGTCAGTGGATCTAACCAACATCTTTATCCACTGGGTCATGTGTCACCTGAAGAAGGCCGGAGCATACAACGGCTGAAATGTTGTGAATATGGCAATGAAGATGAGGATAACAGCCTGAATAATGTAAATAATGCAAGTAATCATAATACCTCATCTCAGAGATATAGAGGCCGAAACATTGTGAATATGACAATGAAGATGAGGATAACAATCCGAATAATGTAAATAATGCAAGTAATCATTTTACCTCATCTCAGTGATATAGAGGCTGAAACATTGTAAATATGGCAATGAAGATGAGGATAACAGTCCAAATAATGTAAATAATGCAAGTAATCATAATACCTCATCTAAGAGATATAGAGGCCAAAATGTTGTAAATATGGCAATGAAGATTAGGATAACAGTCCGAATAATGTAAATAATGCAAGTAATCATAATACCTCATCTCAGAGATATAGACAGATATTCTCATCTTTGTTGTTACTATCATGTTGTTTCAGCCATAAGGGCTTCTGGGACTTCTTCTCTGCCATCCAAAGATGTCTTCTTCCACAAACCTCCAATCAGGTTCTTGGTTCACCACTGCTGCGTCCTGGTATTTATATTTTTTTTGTTTTTATATAAAACTGAGTAAGTAACAAATGAGGAAAAAATTCACAAATATACATGCAAAAGAAAGAAAATATTAAAAGTTAGAAATTATGATATTTGTGTATGTGAAAAACTTCAGTCACAAAGGAGAATATATCCCCATGCCTGGGCACAAGGTCCCAGTGGATGTTGCTTCTAATGTATGCTTGAAGGAAAAGAGAGGGGAGAGAGAAAGAAGACGGGAAGTGTCTCATTTTTATAGGCATTTAACAGCACCCCCTAATGACATCTTGGCAAAACTAAGTGGGGGTAACCTACACTCATCAGACAAAAATAATAGTCTGCTCGACCAAGTTGCTAATTAATGCTCTATAGTAAAAAAATCAAAGTATTTACCTTAGTCTGACACAAGGCCATAAATTAAGAGCACTATTGAGGAAGTTCTAAGTTTGCTAGACCTTCTTGCTAACCATTGCTCTACA